TTATCTGTTGCTTCGCAGATCAATACGAGCCTTTGCACATTATTTCTAACAAAGTGCTTCTACGTTTGTCGTACAACGAGAGCGCGAGTTGTGTCGACGATTGCAACCGAGAACGTTCATTTTTTTTTTCTTTCTTTTTTTTCCTCTTTTTGGAGATATTTGGCGCGTTTATGTTACTTGCATTTTATTATTTATTCTCGTTAAACAGTAGATTCCGTGTTTTTCGTTATTCCGGGTTAAGTAAAATCTGTTTCGTTTTTTCTTTCGTGCAATCGTCGATTCGACACGATATCACGCTCCAGACAAAGTCTAAGGACATATTTTAATATTACACGATCGCGCCATAATATGTTATTTTATCCTCAATGTTATTGTCTTCATTGGTATTACATGTACGTGTATACTGTCTGTTAGAGTCTAGAACTTTATAAATATTGTACATATCAGACCCTATTCTGTTACGAATAAACATTGAAACCATATGCGCCGCATTTCCTGAACCGTGTAAAGGTGCGAGAGTAGCGACAATTTGAATATTTTCGTTATCTTGAAGATTCCACGTCGTTCGCATACTTTTCCATCGACTGTAGGTACATCAAGAACGCGTCGTCTTTGGTGCCGAAGGAGGCGAACAACCAAGCGAACACTGCAAGTAAGTCCTTCGACATTGATATCTTTTGCCAGCTATTCAGATCGTCGAACAAAATCTTAGTTACCTGAAACGAAATCTACATTACCATGGAAAGATATTCTAGTTTAAATCGAACGTTCTTTTTTCTACTTACGTTTTCCCACGTACTATCGTTGAAATTTGTGTAATGCACCATATTTAAATGATTATCTGTCCTCGCGGAAGCTTGATGCAGACAGAAAACTACCAGATACAATGGAACCGCGATCATTGCACGGTTGTAGTCGAAATAAAGCTCGCGTAGGTGTTCAATATCGAATCGGGCTAGATCGAATCTAAAATAGAAGATTTTAAATTCAAATGAAGAGTGTTATCGGTATATATAATGGATACTTTATAAAATATAAAACATACTTATCAAATGTTGATACAATGCATACGATTAACAGGAATGAGAAGATACTCGTGTAGATTTCGGAAATTACTGAGTATTTCACGATGAATTCCATAGAAGTGTTAAAGAACACGTTGATCTAAAAAAATAGTTCGATTATCA